ACTAAAGTGACTTAGCAGGCACGCAAGCATACAGATGAGGATGCTAAGGCAGTAGGTAAACTAAGTCACCCAGTGATCCTGGAGGGAGCACACCGTGACGGGCTCTGTGGATTGCTCCCACAGGAATCTGTGTTACCGACGCATCAACAGGTTCGGCTCCACCCACAACTCAGAGCACCTTCTCTTGGTGGCCTGACTAGCGGCAAACCATCTGTCTCTTCACAACCAGCCTTTCTAGAAAGAAGGCTTAATCAAGAGACTTAATCAATCCCTCCAGGGAAGTAACAGGCTCAACTGCAGAAGGAAAGGTCAAACAAATTGTATAACACTCCATCAGCCCCCTTTGAAAAGCGAATGGTGGTCCGCCTCTGGTCTAACAGCTGTTAGCAGGGTAGTCCTTCTGACACTATTTTCCACCCTCTGTATCATTTCTTTAGGAGTTACTCCCTGAAGCCAGGGGGCGCTCTCACCACCAAGGTCAGTGCGCTTTCGCTCAGCCTCCCCATTCACCTTCAGCTTCTCTGAGGCCATCACGGCTGACCCCAAGCCAGTCATTTCATAATAACTGGCGAGGTCAAAGGTCCATGGCACAGGCTGTGTTTCTGGTGAAGAATCCTCTTCTCCGTAACACTGGCAGGTTCACGGCCCCACCTCATTCGAACCTTTGCCCATAGGTTCCTCTTAGACTCTCATGTTCAAAATTACAAACCCCATACCCCCATGCCTCAGAAATCTTTATCCCCTTCCCCGTACCAGTTTTCTCTTTGGCACTTCTTGCTACCTAACACCCTGCTTTAACGATTTTTACCATCTCCATCTTCCCATCAGGACACAAATTCTATCGGGGTAGGGATGTGGGCTGTCTTGATGACTGTTATACTCTTGTGGCTTTGAAGAGTGCCTGGCAGATAGGAGGCACACAGATATTTATTGACTGAATAAATATCCCCAAAGACACCTTTGTCCCTAACCCTCAGATCTCCCCCAATGTTCAAATCCAGGCTACAACCTTGGAAACTCCCCTAAGGAAGAAATGGAAGTGCTCCTTCCAAAGAGACACAACTCACCAACAGATCCAGGTTTCCCACAAGCAGAGAAGACATCTGGAATGATGAACTCTGCCCAGTCCTGGCTACCAGAAAGATAGAAAGGGAAAAGAAGTAAAAGTAGACAAATGTCTAGGATGGCCTTCTCAGCAGAATGGGAGGCATGGCAATGAGAGGAAGACTGGTGTAAATAAAAAAAAAAAGCTTATGAAATTCCTTTTAGGAAAAGTAATAAGCACCTGACGGTGAGAAACACTATGTACTGGGTGAAGACCCTGATTCTAAATCAGCCTCTGCCATTAACCAGTCGAGCAACCTTTGGCCAAACCACATCACTTTTCTTGCCTCAACTACAGGATAGGATGGGTGCGAACTCTATTTTAGAGAATGTCTCACCATGGGATTCTTGGTCTGCCCCATTCTTCCTCCCCCTTCAAAGAAGAAAGGAAAGTGTTATAATTCAAACACTACATCAGGGCAGAATCTGCCCAGGGAACTTGATGTTTTGCAAGTTTGTCCTCAAAGAGACTCAACAGTTGGTGGCAACCAAGAAATTTGACCTGCAAATTTGGGGAATGAGGAACTCTTCTCCTGGACCCCAGGAACCCTGGCTGCACTTACCTTTCCTCTGAAGAGTGTCCCTGGCCCAGGAAAAGAGGAAAGGTAGGGACACCCTGCAGCCCAACCAGCCCAAGCTCTAAGACCCACCACCTTCTGGTTCAGGACGCCCCCCTGGGCCATAGCCAAGAGTCCAAGGCCTGCTACAACCTCAGCGGGAGGCTGTGGAGCTGAGGAACTGTGAGCTCTACCTGCTCCTGGATTCAAGCTCTCCATGAAAGTCAAGGTGCCATGGCTGCATCTGAAAGAGCCATTTTATGAGTACATTAAAGAAAAATCCTCTGTAAACACAGAGTCCTTAGTCTTAGTGCTTGTTTATGAATTGTATTAGTCGGAACGATCAGATTGCTCAACCATGGGGCATTGTAAAAGGTCAGCTATGTGACTTCTGAGCAGACGAGGGAAAGGAATCCTTCCAGTACCTGGAACAGTCATTTCCAGATTACTGCCATACTCCTCTTCAACTATGAAACTTGGACTTAAGAGTTAAAGCGAAGTCGCTCAGTCATGTACCACTCTTTTTGACCCCAGGGACTCTAGCCTACAAGGTTCCTCCATCCATGGGATTCTCCAGGCAAGAATACTGGAATGGGTTGCCATTTCCTTCTCCAGGAGATCTTCCTGACCCAGGGATTGAACCTGGGTCTCCCGCATTGCAAGCAGACGATTTTACCATCTGAGCCACCAGGGAAGCTCAGCTTAAGAGTTAAGGGCTTAGATAAGTGGTTTTCAACTTTCAAGATGCATTAGAATCACAGGATAAGCTTTTAAAAGATTTTTAAAATATTGAGTCCAGTGGTTTATTGCTAGCAACTACAATTAAATCAGTCTAGTGTCGGTACCAAGCATGGAGTGCATATGTGCACGTGCTCAGTTGCTCAGTCATGTCCTACTCTCGTGACCTCACAGACTTGTAGCCCGCCAGGCTCCTCTGTCCATGGGATTTCCCAGGCAAAAATACTGGAGTGGGTTGCCATTTTCTCCTCCAGGGGAGCTTACTGACCCAGGGATTGAACCCGCTCACATACCTGCATGTGCATAAAACTATCTTGGAAAAGATTGACAATTTCTACTAAAACTGTTCATATATGTGTCCTATTACTCTGCAATTCTACTCTTAGGGATCTAACCAACAGAAATGTATATATGTTCCACCAAAAGACATGTAAAAGAATGCTCATATTCAGTATTCATAATCAACCAAAACGAGAAACCAAAATGTGTGCAAATAAGTAAACAGTGGCAATATTCACATAGAATACAAAACAGCTATGAGAGTTAATGAACTACAGGTACAAGTAACATGAAATAATTTCAGAAATACAGGTTGACTGAAAGAAACCAGAAGACTTTAGACTACATGATGTCGTTTATATAAAGATCAAAAACAAGCAACACTAACCTGCAGTGTTGGAAGTCAGACAGCAATTACCTTTGTTGGAGGGTGGTGATGGGATGGGAGTGAGAGAGGAATTTCTGGAGTGCCAACAATTACATTTCTCGCTGAGTGCTAATGAAATTTAGCAGTGAAAAACTCATTGAGCTATATACCTATGACAGGTGCACTTTTTTGTACATGTTCATATGTAAATAAAAAGAAATAACAAAAACAAAAAGCTCCCCAAGTGATTTTAACGTGCAGTTTTATGTTGAGAACCACTGAAATAGGTCTCAAGGCAACTACCACTGTCAAAAAGATAATGAATCAATCACTTCTGTATACATTAACTAATTACCAATTGTTAACAGCTAACATGTATTGAACTCTTACTCTGTACCAGGAACAGTTCTAAATTCTCCTCAGTTAGAAACTCATTCAATTCTCTTAATAATTCAACAGCCTAGATATTACCTTTATTTTACATTTGAGAAAATTTTGGCACAGAGAGGTTAGCCAATTCGCTTAATGCTAAAAAACTAGTAAGGAGTGAAAGAAGGTTTCCAGGTGTTTTGGATATAGACAGAAATAAAATGATGCACATATCTGCCCTTATGGAGCTTACAAACATATTTAATTTGCTCTCTACTCAAACCAAAACATATCCAGTGAGCACCTATTCTCAGTAGCCTGCCTAAATTCTCTCTTCAGTCTCTCTAAAATGAAGATTTTATCAAGAAAAGCCTCTGATTAAGGGAGTGGGTTTGAATATAAGCAACCAAACAAAAAAGATCAAGCACAGCAATGCAATTTAGAAGCAATGCAGAAAAGAGCTCAAATGTTAAATATTGTGATATCTAATCCAGAAGTTCGGGGTTCCTCCTCACCACTGTGAAAGACTCACCATCATCTAAATTACGTCTCACCTTCTTTGTTCACCTCTACTTTCCAGGAAACAATCATTATGGCCAAAGGTGGGTTTCACCATCAGTGATTGTATAATTTGCTCAAAAACCTGTACACACAAAATTAGGGCTTCATGGGGCAATTATTGTTGCCAGCTGCAGCTGTTACTAAATAACTGGTGAAGTTCAAGGTCCCAAGAAAAACCTGCAGGTGGATCACACAAAATGTATCCTTCCCTCTTCTGCTTTCATCTCTCCCCCTCACTCCACTCCGGTCAACTCTCAAAACAAAAAGCTACCAGGTGTTACCCCTAGGGAATTAAGGCTGGCAATCATATCCACTAATTAAGCATCCAGATTTCCCCATAGAGTAGAAATGGCAGAGGTCAAAAGGAATGTAAAATATCGTCAGGACTCAAGAGCCAAAGAAGAAAGTAACTATAAGGTCAGGACACAGGAGATAGCTGTTAGAGGAGCATGAAATCGAGGGGAAGAGAAATGTTTTATTAGATTTCACTTAGCAAATGATGACTCTGGTGTAGTAGGAAAAAGCTATGATCTTGGATGGAGACCCTCTGACACTAATCACCCTGGTAAACTTGTACAGTCTTGCTACCTCATTAATCTCAGTCTCCTCCCTTCCAAATTACGCGGGAAGGGAAGTAACTGGATTTCTGAGTGGGATGCTGTAGGCAACCCAAACTACTCCTCTGGCAGCTGCACTTCTGGGAGAATAATTCCGGGCTGAGGAAGAGAATTTGTCCCAGAAGCACAGGAGCCAGCAGGCACGGTCACCAGGTACCCAATCTACAAACGCAGATCATGTCCGGGGCGCCTTCTTTTGGTTGCAGAGACCCAGTCATCAGGTTTGAGAGGTTCAAGACAACGTCCTCGCTACCCACTCCGTTGGCTTGACTCTTGCGCTACAAGTCTCCCTCCCGCAAAAAAAAAAAAAAAAAAAAA